TCGTAGGTTCACCTGTATGTATGTTTGTATGTTTGTTTGTTTGTCAGTTTGTTTGTAACTCCAGAATTATCGACATTATTGCTTGATCTATTTGCGGGGGGGCACATGGCGCTGTACGAAACTCACTTTACATGTAATGTGTAATTTTTTGCTGGTATCTTTTTGGCAACACTGTTTTTGACAGATCACGCGTGAATCGTGTCTTGTGTCATTGTCAAACTTGTTCAGTTTGATGTACAATTTATATATGAATCGATTTACGAATGAACAACGCTTGCACATTATTGAATGTTATTATCAAAATTCATGTTCGGTAAAGAAAGTGCATCGTGCTCTTCTTCCAATTTATGGACAGTTTCGTCGGCCCATCAAGGGAGTTATTCGAAAGCTTGTGACTAAATTTCGAACCCAGTTTATATTATTGGACATTAAACCACGAACACGCATACGTGAGGACCGAAGAAATATCGCGGCTGTATCCGCCAGTGTTCCTGATGACCATGAAATGTCGATTCGCCACCGTTCGCAGCAATTGGGCCTCTGTTACTCCACTACGTGGAACATTTTGCGAAAGGATTTGGGTGTAAAATCTCATAAGATTCAGCTGGTGCAATAATTGAATTCACACGACCTCCCACAACGTCCAACATTTGGTAAATGGGCGCTGGCAAAGTTGGAGGAAAATCCACATTTTTATCGAAAATTTGTGTTTAGCGACGGGGCTCATTCCAGGTTGAATGGATACGTTAACAAGCAAAATTGCCGCATCTGAAGTGAAGATCAGCCACAAGCATTGCAAGAGCTACCGATGCATCCCGAAAAAGTCACTGTTTGGTGTGGATTATGGGTCGGTGACTTGTCGTCTTCTTCAAAGACGACAATGGCTGGAACGTTACTGTGAATGACGAGCGCTACCGTGTGATGATGGACGACTTTTTGGACATGCCTGACATGTGGTTTCAATAAGACGGTGCCACATGACAAGTTGTAGGATATTTCCGATGAATGAACCGAGACGAATTTGTCAATGCATAATTCGCTAGATCATCATTCTCAGGTCACCCAGATGAGCGATTTGTTTTATCCTACATAAACTTATTGCACGATCGACAAAAAAAACAAGCGTTCATATTTCGATAGTGGCGTGGCGTTCATCGTTTTTCGAGCGGTACGGCACGATTACCGTGTGACAATCGATCGCTTCCACTACAAGGGAAGCTACAGTGCCGTTGGCATGCGCACAGTGGCCTACGTGATCAAATGCACGTTTTCATTCACGTCGATCTTTTTCATCCGATCGAACGTCCAGTTGAGCATCTGCAAGTGTGTTCCAATAATTGAAAATCTATTGCGACAATTGTATCGCCAACAGCATATTCAGGAATAACTTCAGTGAAGAATCCTGCACTGACACCTGTCGGATATAATCCAACGCCCTTCGTGGTATTAGCCAGGGGAGTAGTTGTTTTCTGATAGGTGTCAGTCCATTAACCTACTGTGTAGGGTGTTGAAACTGGCCTGAACGAATTGTTCTTTCAGGTGATTTTATTATATCATAAGAGATCTTCAGCTGAAGAAACAACTAGTAGATACATTTATGTGTAATGTATGAGCATGAGTGGGGGCGATTTCATGAATATTTATATTTTTTTACATACATTGTTCATCTTTCTACTATAAAATAGCGGTTACTTTGATTTTTTGAATGGAACACCCTGTATATAATATCATATCATGATTTCTGATCACCTTGTCGACAACTTCACGTACTATTTCCCTACACCTACCTATTATCGTTTGGAAGATACAAATTAATTTCGATTTTTTTACCAAACATGTACTTTTATAGACGATCAAATTCGAAATGATGTGGGGTAATACCATGAGGATCTTCACTTATTTGAGAGTTGTCGTTCCTAAACGGGCGACTGCTGGTTAACGGGAAAACCGATTTTGAACAGAACAGCCAGACAGAAAGTTCGAATTCTCGTGGGTTGAAGTAAACCATATTTTCAATGAAACCCCCTCACAAAATAATCTAATGAATTGCCATCTGGTGCTCTAGGGGGATACGAAATGGTCCATTATCACCAATTCATCTATTTTCGAAGATTTCAGTTGAAATCTCTCTTACTAAACAAAAATTATGGGGTGAAGTACCATCCATTTGGTTCCATGCACGTTCTCATCATGGCAAATTATTTAAAATCACTTGAACTCTATATCTCAGTGAATCTTCATATTTTGTTGCATTCAACTCAGAATCTTAAAACTCGATATAGAAAATTAACCCATTTTTATTTCACAAAATACATTAAATTGCTATCTTCCTTGAAAACACCTTTGGCCAACGACTTGGGAATTTTCTGGCGCCCAATAATGACTGTTGTATCCATTGAAATCCCCATTTTTTGTAAACTTGACCTCATCTGTCCATTTGATATTTTCAAGGAAATGTTCATCCTCTTGAGTACCCATTAAAAGAATTCCACTCTACGAGGCAAATCAGTCTTTTTCAGATGTTGGGTACAGTAGAATTAATAGGGATGCCATTTTCACTTATTGAGAATGCGATAGATTGTCATAGGGTATACCTATCTCCCTTTCAGCCTCCTGTAGAGAAGCATTTGGAAATGCTTCGAAACGAAATATTACATAGTATAAAAGAGATGTTGAATTTCAAAAATAAGTGGTGAATACAAGGAAACCACGCCGGTTTATGTTTGAAACAGTTCATCTCGAAAACGGTTCGAAATCGAAATGGTATTATTTGAACACGTAAATCCAAAATTGGATATATAACTCAAAATTGTGGAAATATATAGGCTGTTCCATTCATGTGATCGAAGTATCTGCATTTTTTGAAGATCCTGTATGAAGCAAATTAAAATATGACTCGAACTGAAGATTCTCATGATATTACTTAACTCTATTTCGAATTCGATCGTCTTAGTAGATCATATCATGTGTACCTACTGTAGAAATTTCAGGTTGGTCTGTTTTCTGGTTGGCCAGAAACGTGAAAAGCCCTGTATAATAATTACTCATTGAGTGTCTCATGAAGTTTTCCCAATGATCACTATCAGAAGGCTAGTAGGAAACATTCATTTCAGTTAATTTTATTTCCAGATTTTTGTTTAAACGTTCATATGATATACAAACATATCATGCTTGTAGAAGAATATATTCACAATATTTTATTTTTCGTGAAATGTATATGAAAAATATTCTCAATTGCATTTTCAATTTGAAAACGCAGTAGAAAGCATGTTCGTGAATGATGCTAAAATTTAAAATAATACGCTTTAAGATGTGTTTGATTATAAGTTATAGTTAAGAATTTTTTTTCCTTCGTGTAATTCAATGTTTATATGAAAGGAGGAGGACTTTCTTTCAGTTTGTGTCTGAAAGTTACTTCTTTGCATGATCTACACATCCATGTATAGAGTTATTTATTTTCAAATTGATTACTTCACGTTGAAAGAAGAAAGCAGCATAGCTATCAATCCCGAATTACTCGTAACATTTGAGGTTTCCCAATTTTATTTTCTTTTTGAAAGAACGCGTTTTTCTCATTGAGTCAACCATACTGATGTGATTGTCCAAGTTATCATTCACATTTTATGCAGTTTCAGTTTTCATTATCTCTCAAATTCATCATCAATTCAAGATCATCCATCAACTAATGAATAGGAGTTTTTCAAATCCTATCTTGAGATTTCATGAAAACCGTATTACTATTACAATACGTCATTATTGTGAGATTCAACAATGAAATTTCAACAATAAGAGTAGATATCGTAAAGTATAACTTCAGAAATACTGAAGAGGTATTTCTTTTCTGTCACAATCACTTCGTTAGATTCGACATCCTTTCACAAAGTGAAATTTTTGGACTAGACGTCGAATTTTTTTTTCATAAATTTCTATATGACCGTTTAGAAAAGTGTAGTTATAACCTATGACAGAAAATAAAACCACAGAACAATATTCATTGTGTATAGTATCATATTTTCCTCCAACCGATTTTCTGGAGTCTTTGAAGTCCACTAGATACTCGTTAGGACAACAAGAAAATTGTTCCGAATTCTTGGGGTTCTTGTTGAATACTCTTCGTGAGCAAAACAATAGCAAAATCAATATTCCTGACCGCTCTGGATTGAATGATTCCATACAGTCCATCTCGTCTTGTGCTTGTAAATCTTTTGCTGGAAAAATTCTCACTTGTTTACTTTGTAGTAAATGTTCAAGAGGTAGTGAAAACTCATGTGGATTTCTGAAACTTCATCTAGCTTTTCCTAACATGACTAATAACCAGTCCGTGCAAAGCTCATCGATGAATCATCTGAAAATGGAATTTTTAACAGGTGATGATCGACTGTATTGCCAAACATGTGCCAAACTAACTGTTATAAGGAAACAAGTATAGTTTAGGCACCAGTCAATTTAATAATAACACTGATGATTTTCAAACAAGACTCAACCACTGACGGAAGCAAGAAACTCCTCGGAAGGCTCAAAATAGATGAAAATTTCAATTTAGAAGACCACTATTGTAATATTCATGCAGTCATTGTTCACTGTGGTTCTGGCGTTGAATCTGGCCATTATTACGCATTGGTCGAAGACGAAACGGACTGGTTTAAGTTTGACGATGATTGTGTCACGAAGTGTTCTGGCGATGCATTGAAGTCTGTGGGGACACCCTACATTTTGTTTTATGAGAGAGAGGACATTGGTAGATCAAGATCTTTAGATGATGTGGTGCTGCAGGTTTTTCCGGGTTTTCCTGCAGCTGAAAAAGCAAATGCCACACTGGAATCGATGAAGTCGCCCCGGAGCGCCAATTAATTTTTATTGTTGTTTTATTTTTATCGTTGTTGTCTTCAATATAAGGTATAATACTACAGACTGTTGTACAAATAATGCCAATATATTTTTCATCCCTCACTTCTATCGTTATTTTTTGCTCATCTCAAATTCTAATTATATTTTCACAGGTAAAGAAGTATCCAGAAGGTGGACAAATCTCCGCGATGCGTACTGCAAATCCCGGAAAAAAATTCAAAACTGTAAAAGAAGTGGTACAGGAGCGTCGACGGTGAAGAAATATATTTTCAATAATCAGATGCAGTTCTTGGAAAAATGTTATGACTCGAGAGACACAGAAGAGAGTATAGACTATTCTGTCACAACCGAAATCGACAATACAGAATCTATTCATGAGAAGCCTGACGAATATGAGAATACTGGAGAAATTATTAAGGAGGTTAACGTTCCTGCAAATAGAATGATCAGAAGACGTCGAAAACCAGACGAAGTGGATACAGCCGTTCTGAAAGCTTCTGAACAACCTCAACAACAACCAGATACTAACATGTCTTTTTTTCATAGCCTGAAGCCGCATTTAAAACAATTTGATGACAGCCAAATCCTACAATTCCAAATAGCAGTCCTTGAAATCATTTCTGAAATTAAAGAAAAAGAAAAGATGACTCAGGCTCCGGCATTCCCTACCATCCCACAACACTGTTGTTCACATGTGCCTCTTCATCAGCAATCACCCAAGCCTCTCTCTCATCAACATCATTCCTCATTGAGATGCTGTATGCAGCAACATCACCCGTATAATTCATATCATTCATCACAAGAATGCGGAATCCAAACCAATGTGACTCCTAGTTCTACTACTGAACTGTCTCAGTACAACCAACCGATCTACCAATCTCTTAATATAACTCCAAAAGTAGTCAGTGGCAATAAACCCAGCAGTTGTACATCGGGCCAAATTCTAACGTCAACCCAAACTTCACAACCAGTCATTATTTCGGAAACAGCTTCAAATTATGAATGTTTTGATAAAACGTCGGACGATAATACTTCATTATCCATTATCAGAGTTGATAGCCCTTTTTCTGATAATTCAGAAACCTTCGACTTTGGAAACTAAGTAGTTGATTTGAAATTATAAGCATGTTTTGTTCTTGAAAATAAAAAAACTTCGAAAACTCAAAAGAATACTTTATCTTAACCCTTTTTGCATCATGTCAGTTGAGAAGGAATGAATTTAACGAATTGAAGCTTCTTAAAACTTTGTGAATTTTGATATATCTATAGATATATGAAGGAAAGTCTCATGATGTTGTTGTCTGCCGAACGGATTCTCAAACATTTATTTGAAGGTGGTTGACAATGTTTCGTGGTGTATTTTATCAGTTCGGACTTCCATTGTCTAATATGATATAAATTGATTTAAAATTACTAAAAAAAATTGGAAGAATTAACCGAAAATAACAATTTTATTAAACCAAAAACTGAAAATTACAAAGAAATAACATACAAGCAACAACCAAAAAAATGAAGAATTGAAATATCAATAAAAGCTGAAAATCAAAAATTAAGAAATATTATTAACAAAAAACGCTATATCGGGCTTTTCCCCCTTCAAGTCGCCAGGGCCTGACGGTATAAGACCAGCCCTACTTCAGTGGGGACTGGACACTCTTATGCCACACCTGGTTGGAATATTCAGAGCCTCTCTAGCTCTGAGGTATATTCCCAGTAAGTGGAGAGAAGTAAGAGTAGTATTTATACCCAAACCAGGTAGGATGGACTACACCCTACCAAAAGCATTCCGACCAATTAGTCTCACATCGTTTTTCTTAAAAACCATGGAGAGGCTATGTGAG